AAGATAAGTTCTCTATCATTTTTTCAATTCACAAATGATTTTGCCCGCACACTTGCATTGCCTACTAAGAAAGTTAGTTCTGGTATTCATCAGGTTAAAGTGACTTTTGTAAGTATCAAAAATCTCAGATTTCATTTGTATATTTTCTAAAACTTCATAAATATATTTCAAATGTTTGTGTTCACTAAAACTTTGTATTTTATCTGTTATTTTCTCTACCCTAACTCTATACAACATTGGTCAGTTTGACCAACCTCGTAACCACCAAGAAAACAAAAGGCAAAATTATTTTAAATTTCCCTTTTTTATCTTTCTGGAGAGACTTCAAAATGTAACATAAAACTACATTTGTTTATCTTAAGTAGCTTTAACAGTATACATCTATTAATAATTTAATTTTATTGTTTTATTGTCCATTTAACCGTGTCTAACTACTATTCATGCCATTAGAAGTTGTGAATCACTTGGGGAATGTGGAGCTCATGTTACACTATAAAATTAAGTTACCCACGAGCTGCTAGTGTGCATGCCTCAGGAAACATTTTTATATTATTATTATTTATTTTACTTAATCTAACCTTAACTGACCTAAGGAGATCCCTATTTTTTATTTTAGTTACTTTAATAATAATAAGTAAAGAATAAACATGAAAAACAAGAAATAAAGAACTTTCCCAAGTATTCTTTTTTCTTTTCTTTTTTTTGCTGTCTATTATTGATGACACTTAACCCTGCTTTTTTATACCAATGGTAGTAGTGCATTAAATAATTTTTATTTAATTACATAATGCACCAAAGAACATAGAATAATAACATGCAAAAAGCAGAGTCACAATTTTTCTGGCTTACTAACTATGCAACAAGACCTGTCACAAATTCATCCAAGTTAGCCATTGTGATTCCCGTGGGAATCAAAGTTGTATTACAAGTGAAATTGACTATTTTGTGTTCAGAATACAATGTAATAGAATATGTTATTTGATAGATGAAAACCTTGGCTTTCTATTGATTATAGATAATATATAATTAAACGTAAAAAAAAAAACTATTAATAAATCCTGAAAGGGAGGATGTGACAATAGTGTGTGGCAGGAGGGATCTGATTTTGTATTTGATAGCTCTGTAACCAAACAAAATTGACGGCTATAAAAATTATGGTTACTCTAAGCAATGACAATTTTATAGTGAGTAATTTATGTTGAATTTCATACTTTTTGGAGGGGTGATGGATAAAATAGAGAAGAGAAGATATCTAGAGAAGTTGTGTCGTGTGTGTCACACTATGGGAAATTCAGGATGTTTTTAAATATTGCCATATAAAATTAACAACTTAAAACTTGTATACTGTTAAAATATGGGTTATTAGCTAAGATTTGATGCTATAATAATTGATATAATATAAACAAAAAGTAGATTAATAAAATTTTGAATGCAAGTTACTAAAACCTTGTGACATGCACACTAAAAGACACTCATCGAGATAGGGTGAAGGAAATGGTCAAGAGTAAGACTGCATAAAAGATTGTAGCAATCCATTAGAGGAAGATTAGCAACTTTTGCTTTGAGATTTGCCATGTGATACAAATAAAATGTTTGTTCTATTTATTTGAAGGTTGTATCACCTAAATACTATTCTTTGGAATGGAAGGGGTAGACTATTTTTGATTATTTTTATACTTGTATCTTAAACCATTGCGATCCTATAACGTTGTAGTTGAGGAAAAGAGACACTGACCTTTCCATGGTTTGTTTTCTGGTTTTTATTATCTCATTGGTTAAAACTCTAAATTTTGTAAGGAGTAGACAGATGTATTGAAATAACTAAATTTTATCATCAGTACTGAAATGTATTAGTCAAAAGTATGATAAGTATGAATATCTAAAAACAAGATGCAATTAGTGTAAACAGAATATTAACAAATATTGAAAATATTGACAATAAGGTAAATATTAGAATAGGTAATATAAAACATAAGGCATCACATTTGGGATTAAGTTATCATAATTGATGAATGCAATGGAAATATCAACAGTTAAGAAATAAGAAATGAAAAAGATACTAAAAGCTGATAATGCATGACATTAAAAAGAAAGTAAAATAATATAAATTGAAGATTGGTAATAATATGGTAATTAAGTGGTAATATTGTGTAATTTGCATTTATCTATAAAATTCAGAAGGTTAGCAGTAAGAATTACAAATGAAGCTGGGCTAGAAAGTATTATGCTGAAAAAGAATCAGTTGTGTGAGCTTAACAAAGGGATACAATGTTTGTTCTTTGATAAAGTACATAACATACAAATGCTAGGCAACTAGAGGGGAAAAAAATCACTTTTTCAGGAACTTCATGATTTCCATCTTAAACTCTTGGAAAGTACCAGCATCCACTTCTTCCAACAGCAACTCATTTCATAAGCCAGTCACCCTGTTAGGAAAATAAAACTATCAACTGGAGTCTAGCCTTTCTTTCATAATATGCCTTAAACTTGTGTCTTATTGGACAAAAAAAAGTCATTTGACATCTATTATATTGATCCTCCAGGTAATCTTGTAAACTTCAATCAGATCATCTTAACCTACCCTCAAAAGATAACCCTTCCATCCCCAGAATCCTCTTTAGTTGTCCTCTTCCGAACCTTTTCCATTAAGTCAATATCCTTTTTTAGACAAGGAGACTAAAACAGTATACAGTGTTCCAAGTTAATGATTTGTTAGCTTAATTTGAACAAATAACAATTGTGTGTGTGTGTGTGTATACTAGGTTTTTCACTTTGTCTCTCATGTCAATACAAACGTTTTGGTTTAATAACATGTGGCTCACTCATAATTTCATTTGTGTACTTCCGTGTTTCTAAAGCCTAAAAGGTATTGCAGTGATTTAATGGTGAGAAAGGTAATTTGAATACATATAGTGCAATGATCTTCCTTTTTTTTGTAATATTCAAAGGATGTTTATGTTTTTCAGGAAATGAAAAAATAAACCAACAAGACAAGATGAACTCACGAACAGGGTCTTCTATCCATGGTCTTTATGAACTTCTTGTTGAGACAGAACTTGTTCATTATTACAGTGCCATTAAAAATGAACTAAAAGTGACATCTGTCAATAAGCTTAGATATGTTCAAGATGAAGAACTTGCAAACATTGGGTTCTCAAAACTGGAGCAACGACGGCTACACAGATACTTTCAGAAACATTTGCCACCTACATATATCAATAAAATTAAAAGTGTAAGAAAAGTTATTAAAAATTGTAGGTTCTTTATTGATGATGGAATTTCATTTAAAACTGTTCATAAGGGTAGTGTTACTTGGCATCAATGTTTATAAAAATGGATGCTGGTTTAGAGAAAAATAGTCCACATTTGAAAGTACCCAAACTATTTGGTATCGTCCTTTATGTGGAACAGACTAATTTAAAAAGAAACAAAAAAACAAGTAAATTATAATTATCTTCAGTTTAATAGTCAAATTATTTTTTACCCTTTTTTTTTTCCATTAGATGATATTACATATTTTTAGAGTTCTGTCACTAAAGGAGTAAAAATTAATATCAAATATGGTATTAAAATGTTGAAATTTCTAGTTTAGGAAAGTGGTTATTTAACTGAAAAATTTTGTATTTGATCCACATAGGCTAGTTTTCATGAATAATTATGAAACAATCATTGAATCTTATCAACTAAATAAAAAATGTAGATAGATAGATATATTTGACCCTTTTAGACATGTAAGAAATCTTCATAAAAAATTATTTATAAGAAGGTTATCATAAAGATGAAGCAATATATGAATGACTTATTCAAATTGATAACAATGCTTTTTGTTGCACATAAAACATAAATATTAGGTAAGAGGATCATATATTTTTTATGTCAGTATAATTCTGTTGTATGTGTGATTTATCAGTGATAAGAATTTCTTATGAATGATACTACAAAGCAAAAGCATTTTATATACAGTTTACATAGGTCTGATATCAATGGTGGAAAAATAGTGAACTTATGTTTAGGTAAATTCCAAAACTTACTTTCCTCACCTCACGTTACTGCTACAATTATTACTCGACTGTCAGGGTTTCTTCCTTTGTCCATCTAAGCATTGGTCTGATTTTTTCTCAGTTGCTACAGTCTTTTATACCCCACTTAATTGCTCTTGGCAATATTTGTTTTGTGACACTCTCTACCTATGTCAATGTGCCCACTATCCTGGTACTTTATATAAGCACCTCATTCAGATAATGCTATTACTTTTTCTTGCCAAAGCATCACTAATGGGTCTCTCAGTGCTATGATCATTCTCCGTGTTACCTAGTTGATTTTTGTAAAAAAAAAACTTCGATTGGCAAGCCGATTTATGTTATGAATTCCCAGATTATTATTTATGGCATGGAGGCAAATCAGGTCTCTTCTATCCCACCTCTAATATCTAGTGTCACACAACAATCACAACGGGGGGTCACTCTCAGTGGTCTTATTTGTAGTGAGATGGAGACATATATTGGGTTTGGTGGTGTTTCTTCAGGGTGCTCTAAGGCTGCAATTGAGGGTGATCCTGGACATTCTGGAAAGAATTTGGATTCGCTTTTTCCTGTGTCATTTATTCTATTGGCTTCTCAGTCCTCCTGTGGGACAGTGGTAAGTTTACAGACTTACAATGCTGGAATCTGTGGTTTGATTCCCTATAGTGGACACAGCAAATTGCCCGACATTCCTTTGCTCTAACAAAACAAACTCACCTGACAAAATGTTGTTCCAAACTCTAAAAAACTTTAAAAGAAATGTAAATGAGTACAATTTGGGATAAGCAGCCTCTGATTTGTTTTCTTCAGTTGGTTCATCAAGAGTGTGATGTTTTGGGTCTTTTCCCAGTTGCTTTTGAGCCTGCACCTTACTTGATAGGTGAAAGGTCTGGGAGTGAATATTTAGTTTTCTCTCCATCCAAGAACATTGTGGTTGATGCAGGGAGGTTTACTGCTCAGGTACATGAAGGGACAGCTATATCTTATTGGCCATGATTGTCGGAACTATGTATTTAGGCTACTACTGTCAGGTGGAAGCATATTCTGACTCTCAAATAATTTATCTGCTCCTCGAAATTAGGGGTTCTAAGACAGAGTTTGTAGTTAACCTGAATAAATCAATGCCCCTGGTGGGACAGAATTAACTTTATGGACTTACAACTCTAAAATCAAAGTGTTCTTATCCTTAACACTAAACTTTGTTGGATGACTCAAGAATACCAACTTCATTGATGTGAAGCTGGAACCATTGTTAGTATGCACATTGGTTTGATTTTTGGCTTCTACATTCATCCCTGTTGTCATTAGCGTCTCAACTTTTATCGGCTCCTACAGAGGGGTCATAGTTCCATCCCTATTTGAGGGTTCCAACATCAGCCCCTCGGTACATTGGTACACAGAATAGATTCTGTCCATATACAATGGTTCTGCTGCTTCATCTGAATGCTGCCAGCAGCATCGGTAATTATTCTATGCCTTCAGAGTACATGAGGGCTTGGCTACGAGGATTTCTAGATGTATGGTAACCTTAACCACAGATCCATGGGCACTACAGATCCTTGAGGCAGGATTAGTCTTTCAGTTCATATCTTCACCATCATTATCCACTCAACCTGTAGGGTTTTTTTCTACCACAGATCCTCAGATTTTGGAACTTAGTTCTATGGCTATCAGAGTTTGGTTGGTCTGGGGGTAGAGAGATAGTTGTGCTAGTTTTATAGGGTTTTTTCCCATTGGTTTTTGGGCCTAAGAAGACAGGAGATTGGAGTCCAGTCATTGATCTTTCTCATCTATATCAATGCCTAGATTCTCCAAATTTCAAAAGTGACTCATTCCTCAATCTGAGTTGCCATTTTTTACTACAATTGAGAATTTCCAACTTTGTTGTAGTCAGCTCCTATCTGCACATTGCCATAGTGGTGGCATTCCACCACTCTCAGCATTTTTTTGTGCACAAGGGTCGGGTACTACAGTTCAGGGTGTTTAATTCAGACTAGCATTAGCACCACACAGGTTCTGCAAAATTTTACAAGCTTTTTCTCATCACCTCCATTCCCTCACCCTGTGCACACACCATTCCATGTCAACTGTCAGAACGTCACACCTGGCTTCTACTTTCAGAAACAACCAAGGCTGGCTTCATTTTCAGAGCTGAGACATCTATTCTTGCTCCAACCCAATATGTCGTCAGTTTGGGTATTTTTTTTTCATTACTTATCTCAGTCAGGTTCTGCTGACTCCCATCCGGCTCCGTGTTATGGAACAGGAAGCCCAACTTTTACTCACCTCTCCTTCTCCCACTGCACAGATGTTTCTTTCTTTTTTGAGAATGTGGGTATCACTCAATTCCCTCATGCTTTTGGAATGAGTGCACAAGAGATCCTTTCAGTGGTCTTTATGCAACCAAGGGATCATAAACATTGAATCATTGGATTCCCTAGTTTCCTTATTCTGGATCCTTCTTCGATCTTGAGGGGTTGTTAAGTCAGGACACTACTGAGATATGGATTCCTCTTCTGCCACCTCGTCCAGAGATCCATTTCTTCATGAATACCTTACTTCAGGGATGGAGTGCATATTCCAACAGTCAGAAATTCCAGGGCTACACATGGATGAGAAGGCTTCCCTACTCAATGCTTTAGTCCTTCTTGCTCTTCAAAAGGCAATGCCTCATGGTTTAGGCTTATTAAGGTTTTAACTTCTGCAGTACCTTTAGGAGTGCCAGGAGTGCCCATCTCTTCCACTTTCTATTTGGCCATCTCTGTGGAGGCAGCCATGATCTGACATGGTACACCTGGCTATCCAAAAGTTCAAGCTTCAGGCATGGAGGTTATGCAGTCCTTAGCATGGTGTTGGTGTTTAATTTCTAAGGTTGCCATGTATCTGTCTCAGTCTTTGCTTAGTCCCGTGATGGATATTTATCAACAGAAATGACACACATATCAGCAATGGTCTATTGAGAGGAGGTTGAGCCCACTTCGATCTGAAGTGCCAACCATAACTGGTATATTGACCTGGCTCTTTGGCAAGTGTTTTGCATCTTCCACAATCTTCCTGTATAAGGTGGCCTTATTGACTACCGTTCGATACTTGAGACAAACATTCTTTGAGTCCCCAGTACTATCCAGATTCTTAAAGTCGCTTTGGGTCCTTTGTCCCAAATGACCATTCCAGTTACCTAACTGGTAAATTAAGGTTGCATTAAATGCCCTTACTCAACACCTGTTTGTGACCTTAGTCTCATATGCAATGTATCACCTTTACCTGAAGGTTTACTTTTCATAACTACTGACCTACAGACATTACTGGTCGGAGTGGTTTGCTCTGATTGTCCATAGGACACTTTATCATTCTACCTACGTCCTAAGACCGATTCTTCTTACCTAAGACACTGTCAGTCTGGGAAAAGGATAAGCCCTTTTCATCAATTCATCTGTTAATACTTCTCACTTCCATAACCAATTAGATTTCAATTGTTGTTATGTTCAGTGAAGGTCTTGAAGGTTTTGCTGCCCACACTAATGCCTTTAAAGATGCTAGACAATCAATTTTTATTCATTGGGATCATTCAGTTTCCCAGACATTGTTCATACTGGTATGTGGACCTCCCCAATACTTTGATCTCACATTATTTGCATGATCTGGCAGTATTTTCATCTGAGGGTTTTCAACTACCCCCTGTAGCTATCTTAACCACTTCCACTAGATTATACAGAGGGGTAAGTATTTCCATTGCTACGCTTGCCTATTCTTTACTTTTCAGGTCTTTTACCTCATTTTACCTCCCTCCACCTGTCATTATAGTATCTATCTCATATAAGTGTTTGACCAAGACAGAATGGCCTAAAGTTCTAGTCACATTACACATTCTAATGTTCTGCCCACTTGGACTTTCTTGAGTCCTTTGCTATACTATCCGAGTGCATGAAACTAAAACTATTGGGTGAAGAGTTTTCCCTGTCCAACTGTGTGCTGTTTCACTAGGTGACCCTCCAGTCTTGTGAAAGTCACTCCCAGTGAGCTTTTCCTTTCTGTTACAATTTCAGAAACGAGCTCATCTTTGTAATTGGTCAACCCCACCCCCCCTCCATCATTTTTAGTGTGGGATTCTAGCTTTTAGTGATACAGAGAAGCAAGTAATGTTTGTGAAGTTAACATTTTCATCAGTTATAAATATACTTTAAATAGATATTTACTTCTCTGCATCACT